GCCGGTCCAGGCGTCGGTTCGGCCGGGAAAAGCCCAAACCGGGCGTTCGATATAAATTTTTTTTTTTTTCTAATTTAAAATAAATATTTTTTTTTTCTGAATTAAAATAAGTTAGTAAATTTAATATAATTTAGTCAATTCAATGAAATTATAATAATTTTATGTTTACAGGATGTCTAATTGGGCGAAAAAATTCGGACTGGGAAAAGGGAAATGACCCTGATTCGTCCTCCTGCAGATCCGGTGGAGGAGACTACTGTGGAACGGGAGGGAAGGACACATAATAGAAATGTTACCAGTTCTAAACGTCGTGGGGAACGCAGTGGTGCTTTTGTACCCCCACGTACGATGATTGAGGAGGAGACAGAGACAGATGCCGAGCAGGAGATGGATGCACCCATGGATGCATATATGCATCCGCAGGAGTACGAGTTGTTAGAGTAGGTGACCAACAAGCCAACATGTGGCTGTGGTCTTTCGTATTTATTATTGTAATAAACGAACCTTTATTCGTATTAATGATAAAATACATTGGCATTCTATATCTTTGTCCCTTTGTCACAAGCATAGATATAGTCCTTACAGTTATTACAAGTACTAGTAATTGATCTTTAGGATCGTGAGATATTTACTTAAGTATTATAACTGTTAAACGCGTTCCTAGTCGAAGGGTTACGCCACTAATGAGGATATCGGCCTTTCCCATTAAGACTAGCACTTAGTGTATGTGTACTGCATCTCATCAGTAAACGGTATTGTGATATCGGCATGCATAAGTGGGTGCTCGTAAGTTGACGAGTTCACTGAACTCCCTCACCCTAGAAATCTCTAAGTGGTTCCCAATAATCGAGTAGAGATATCTATGGTATAGTTGTACACCATTAGTCCTTATGACCTAGACATCACCGTGACTTCACTAGAGGACCAGCTGTATCGTGACCTGTCCCTGAGTTCCACCGAGGACCATCCCAAGGGCCAGTGTTCGTGCAGTCCGAAATCTAGTGGGAGGTCTGTGCATTGTAGTCGGGGATTCGATCGCTAGAATAGTCTTGGATGTCCTGTGTGTTCTGAAAGTTTGTAATCATTCTAAGTCTCTGGCCAGAGCTGACTAGGTGATGATTAGAGAATTCGATTCTCTAGATCATGCACGTAAGGATTACAACACTTAGAACGATCGCACCGTCATCGAACATATAAAGAGGTCTCGATGAACCAATGCCTCTAGTTCGATCGGGACATATGAATCGAAGGGACCGTACTGTACGTTAACTATATCTGAAGGTTCTTGCAGGCACTTCATTTGTATCTAGGGAATCATGACGCGTAGTTGCTAGACGCCAATCTTGATTCGTTGGGTGATTAAGGTGAAACGAGCTTCATCTTAATCGTAACTCGAAGGGGACGAGTTTTGACCACAAAGGGTTGTGGGCCCACGGCTAGCTTACACCTGAACCATCGAGGGTCACACTGCTCGTGCACATGAGATCTTTGAATGAACGGTCAGAGATAAAATAGTTTATCTTTGC